ACAGAAAACTGGTATAACAGTCCATGAAAATGGGGAAAGTGTGGCTTAGTAATAAAGGATATATGCTTTAGCTATAAAAAGACTGATCTCAGTTCAAATCCTGTTCCTGCTAATTATTGGGTGACTGAAAAGTTACATCATCTTTCTGTGTTTTAGTTTCCCCACCCATAAAATAAGGTAAAAATACCTTTCAGTCAGGCCAGTGTGGCTCACTGTTTGAGCATCAACCTATGAACTAGGAGGTCAAGGTTCCATTCCCGCTCAGGGCACATGCTGGGATTTTGACCTCAATCCTCAGAAGGCAGTGTGCAGGAGGCAGCCGATCAATGATTCTCTCTCATCATTGATGTTTTTCTCTCTCCCTCTCCTTTCCTCTCTGAAATCAATAAAAATATATTTTTAAAAATGCCTTCCATATAGTGCTATGTTGAAAACAATTATTTAGTAGTTTAAACCATATTAGTCCCTGACCCTCACACCCCATCACCATATAGATATAGTATACAGGCCTTCTACCTTGATTTCAAACATTATATTGTATCTTGTCATCAAGCCATAGAACCGAATTTGGAGATCATATAGTGACCATAGAGATGGGGATCTGCAAAAGTAAGGAAAGGGGAGGGAAGATGTGCTCTCTTCTGCATGTGTATCCACAGCATCTAGTTTAGTTACTCCTTTGCCTAAGGGGGGCCAGGGCAGGGAGGTGCACAGAGCCCATTGTAGCATTAATTAAGCCCTGGCCTTCTCAGCTACCTTGGTGCCTCCTGGCCCATTTTCTTTGTACCTATGAAGTCAGAGTAGAAAAGGCTTAACCTGGTTGCCAGGTGCACAACTATAGCAGAAATTTGAAGCCCCATGAACCCAAGTGGCCTGAGAGGATGCAGAAGCAACCAGCTAAATCTCCTTTGACCTTGGCAACTGGAAAGCCATGTTCTAAAATTTGGGAACAAGTCAAAACCCACAGTCCTGGTTTCTGCCTAAAAGAGGATATTGTGTTGTCTCCCTCTCTCCCTCTCTCTCCTCCCTCCCTCCCTCCCTCTGTCCCTCACTCTCTCCCTCTCTCCCTCCCTCCCTTCCTTCCTCCTTATCTTCCCCCTATCTTTTATCCCTTCCCTTTTGTCTCTCTCTCTCTAGCCTTTCTCATC